ATATATATATATATATATATATATTCTTGGTTAAGTCTAATATGCTGCCAAAATGTTAAGTTGTTAGTGGTTTAGGATTTTACAAATTTAGGTTTACCTTTCTTGTTTATGCAGGATAGAGTTTATTTTGTTGTAAGTGAACAAATGCTTCCTGTAAGCATACCATTTTGTAATTGATAAAAAAAAGATGCTCAAAATAAGAATATCTAAAGATAAATGTAAACATTATAAATACAGTCTGTCAGTATTTCCAGTAAATATTTCTACATATATTCCACTGCTACCTATTGTATCATATAGTGCTAATTTCCTGAATTATATATATAGCAAATTATTTTTCCTGTTGCTTCAGATTGATATAACCAATTATTATAAAGATATATTTATGCATATAAGAACTGGGGTACAAACCAGAGATGTGCACGGGGTGGTGGGTGGGGTGAGAAGATTCCAGACAGAGTAGGGAGCAGAATAGGCAGGTCAGTGAAGCACACTGCTGAGGGAAGCAGGAGAAAGGCAGGAGAGGTTGCTGCACCATTTGGCTCAGCACCCTTACTGGGATCGAACTTGTGCTGTAGTGACTGCTGCTCGCTTCATGTGTGCAGCTTAAGCCCTTGCACCACCAGGGAGGGCCTCTGATAAAACCTATTAACAGAAAGCATTCCCACCTAATATCAATATCTATATGAGGCTTACTATATGAATTAACTACCAAATCTAAGAAAAATTTAGAAAGATGTCCATTTCCAGAAGACCTTTATCATTAAATATTAGATGTTTTTGTGTCTTTCTCTCTGCACTGATATCATATTCTTTAATTCTTGCTGTCCTCTTTAGCCCAGCTGCTACCAGCAGCCTCCTCTCTCTACTATTGTTTTCTGTTAAAATGCCTACAACATTATTAAAAACAAATTATATTTCATTATTATTATTTGATTTACAAAGGAGTTGTATATAAAAATGGATTATGACTCATATATTGCCTAAAATTTCCCATTTAGTAAACATTCCATAGTTAACAGATGTAAAGATTGGTATATGGCAACAAGTTTAAACATTCAAATGTAGATTAACATTGTTGGTATTTGTTAAAATGAAACCTGCATTAGAATTTTGTGTTTGCTAAATTAGGAATATAAAAATAGTTGAATATTCACAGTAGGCTAAGACCTTTGTAAGGTCTTTTCTTTATTGACTCTTCACCATCATTCTGGAAGAGCTGCTATTCTTACTCCATACTACAAATAAGGAGTAGTATTTTTCCCAGATTCCGTTAGCAATGTAAGTTACAGTGCTATGATTTAAAGCTGAGATATGATTTCAGCTTCAGATTTCTTCATTACTATTTAGTTTATTGCCTCATCAGCCAAATGAGAGCAGGAAGAAGATACAAATGGATGAGATCAGTGTTTCTGAGGACACAATTTAAAAAAATTTTTTTCACAGTTTAAAATTTTTAATTTAAATTGTTTTCTTTTTGTTCTAAGGTAAAAAAATGTCATTTAAACATTATAAAATGGCTATCACACTTTAAGATTATATATATTTATCTATTTACTGCTTTTCAAACATTGAATTTTGGATTACATTATAATCTGAGAGCATGCTTTATAAATATTGTAGTATAGCTTATAATAAATGTTCTTATCTGCTAATAAAATAAATAAAACTTTAAATAAGATAAAACTTAAAAAACTACTATCTTGTTATACTTTCTGATCGTATGGTGCTGATTTTTATAAAAGGTTAGAAGATTAAATTTAGAGGGGAGCCATGTACCTATCTTTAATATTACCTACATCATTCAAACAAATATTTTTATTTACTTTACAGGGATTACATCTAATGTAAGCATAATCGGTCAACGTATGAACTATGGGTTTGGCTGTGGTGATTTTGAAGATGACAGGTCACATGACATTTCACCTAGTGTTTTAAAAATACAAAATAAGGAACACCCAAGACATTATAAGCATGGGAAAGGTTAGTAAATTTCATGACAAATTAATTTTAAGATTGGATGCCTCTAAATCAGAATTCTCCCTAGTGAAAAACTAGGGAGATTTCTCAGTTTCAAGATTTTTTTCGTATGCTTCTGTTGATGTGTTGTTACTTAAATAATTTTGGAAAAGAACTCACAGATTCATTTTTTGGTTTATGGGATTGTCTGGGGAGCCAATGTAGAGAAATAACTGCCCAAGAGGTTAAGTCTAAGGAAT